TTTTTTTTTTGGTCAACATCAATAAAACTCAATAAAATATTCTATTCTACAAGATTTGTCACTATGAACGGCTTCAAATAATTGAAAACAATGGCGAGATGTATCAAAATCTTAGGCATGTAAAGAAGAAGTTGGTTGATGAGAATAAGATCCCTTGTGTATGGAGCAAACGTACGCCAACTTGTTGATAATTTACTTTTTTTGGATTTCCTCTTGTGTCGTATTCAGAGAATCGGTCCTATCCTCGAACACTTTTATCTACCAAATATAAAACTAGAACAATTTATGTATCTTTGATCTTAAACCAGAAAACCTGTTAATGATTGACAGTAAGCATAGTAAACCCAAACAAGTAGTCTCCTGATCCTCTATGTTATTTACATTAACCATAAAACGAAAAGTTAGGAAATTCACATCAGAAAGTGAAAAATAATTAAACTATATATAAACAAAATAGACCAATTAAATAACTATCAATTATTAATTTTAAATTAGAAACTCACAGTCTTCATAGTATATAATAATTCAATAGTTTAAACGGATATAAATAATCTTAAACAAAATTAAGATTTGGTATGAGATAAATGAATTAAAAGTTCACTATCTCAAATAGACATGATAGAAATTAAATCTCACATTGTAAAGTGAGAAAGAATACATGTCGGAAGAAAAAAATAGATTTCATGAAACTCGAGAGTTGAAGAGAAAAAATATATATGAAACTGAAACAACAAACTCAAACTGTCGATAGAAAGATTGGTGTTAAAGGTACTACCACTCAAAACCCGTGAAATCGCGAGGTAAAAAAATTTCGACTACATTTGAAAAAATGTTTGGTGCCAACACAACAAAAAAATATAATTTATTTTCGACACACATGCATGGAATATAAATTCATAATCATCACTAATAGAGTTTAAAGCATTGTATTATCCATTCTCAAGTTGAGGTAATCCAAATCAGACTTATGAAGATCATGTAATGAAGAAGAAAACAATTTAGATCTCATCTCATGGTTTAGACAGTAATTTAACATTCTGTAAATTAAACAGTTTTTTTTTAAAAGACGCAATCTTAGAAAAAAATTTTCAAATAAAACTATAGTCAAAACCCGATGATACGTTAATACCCATTAAACGTTTTTTCAAAAAAACACAACCTTAGGATGCAATTATAATCATAAAACAGGTTTTTTCAAAAAAAATGCAATTCTATGATTCATTAATAACCATAAAATAGATTTTTTAAAAACACAATCCTATGATGAATTTATAACCACAAAACAAAAAAAAATTAAATATGCAAATTTATGATGTATTGATATGTGAATAAACTATAAAATTGTGTTTTAAAAAATATGTAACCCTATGATACATTAATAACCATAAGGATATTTTTTTAAAAGACGCAACCCTTAAATGTTTTAGTAACCATAAAAAGACGTAACTCTATCATGCATTAATAACCATAAAACATATTTTTTTAAAAGACGTACGCAATCATAGATGTTTTAATAACCAGAAAACGATTTTTTCTTAAAGACGCAACTCTATAATGTATTTTTTTAGGATTGCTATGATTAATTCAAAAAGACGCAACCCTTAGATGCTTGAACAACCATAAAATAGTTTTTTAATAAGACGCAACTCTAAGATATATAAATAATCATAAAACGGTTTTTGAAAACACGTAACCCTAACATGTTCTAATAACCATAAAATGGTTTTTTCTGAAAAGTCGCAATCTTTGGAAATAACTAAAAAGCGGTTATATCAAGAAGATGCAATCTTTAGAAATATCCATAAAGTGATTATTTTTAAAGAGCACAACCATAAAACGGTTATATTGAAAAGATGCAATCCTTCGAAATAACCAAAGAGGTTATTTTTGAAATGACACAACCCAAAAATATTCATTTTTTAGATTGCTATGAATAATATGTTAATGCGACTTTAATATTTTGATGTATACAATCTAAAAAAACAGCTTTCAAATATAAGAATCTATGTTTCCGTAGAGAATTGTTAAATCTAGAAACTCATTACACACACCACCCATTTTCGAAAAAAATATAGTTGAAAATTTCATTAGTTTTTAATATTTAAAAGTAATAAATATTGCATTGTCTAAAGAATTCTAATTAAATAAATTTCCGTTCTTACCATTAATGATTGAGGTAATAGCCCTTTGATTTCTAGTAACAGAG